AGAACAACAACAAGGTCAAGCTAGAGATAGCGCACAGAAGCTGGACAGGGATGAGCTGGGAACTAGGAGGCGGTGCACCCCTCCACATTCCAGATCTATGACAGGGCTACCTGACATCGGCCGCTTTGGAGAGTGCCCTCTAGAGCACTAGACCCCGCTGACGTCCCTCCCTTCCCCAAACCCTGCCTTATCTGGGCTTCACCCCCAAATCTCCAGGAATTTATCCACCTCGAGTGGTCAGCCCTGCCGCCATGAAAGCTTACTGGGTGATTCCAGGCCAGCCACAATCTCTCGGCCTAACCTATCTCACAAGGTTGTTGTTGCGGGGATTGAGTGGACGACAGGACAATGGGATACGCCGCTTTGGGTTCCAATTAGGGAGAAAGAACAGGATATAATGAATAAGATATGACCTCAAAACACCAGCCCATAAGAACACAAACAGCAGCTGTGCGGGATCAGACCAATCCATCTCATCCAGCATCCTGTTTCACACCCTCGTCAGTCAGATGTCCTTAGAAAGCTTACAAGCAAAACACTGATTCTAAAGCCTCCCCCTTCCTACACTGGTGTTCAGAGGGGGACTGTCTTTCATCATGGAAGTTCCACTTAAGCATCTCAGCTAAGAAGGAGAGGAGAGGAGAGGAGAGGAGAGGAGAGGGGAGGGGAGGGGAGGGGAGGGGAGGAGGAGAGAAGAGGGGAGGAGAGAAGATAGGGGAGAGGAGGAGAGGAGATAGGGGAGAGGAGGAGAGGAGAAGAGAAGAGAGGGGAGGAGAGGAGAGGAGAGGAGAGAAGAGAAGAGGACTGGATTTATACCCCGCCCTTCACTACCCAAAGGAGTCTCAGACTGGCTTACAATCTCTTTTCCCTTCCCTTCCCCACAAGAGACAGCCTGTGAGGTAGGTGGGGCTGAGAGAGCTCTTTAGAGAACTGCCCTTGTGAGAACAGCTCTGAAAGAACTTATGACTGACCCAAGGTCACGCCAGCAGCTGCATGTGGAGGAGTGGGGAATCAAACCCGGTTCTCCCAGATTAGAGTCTGCACTCCTAACCACTACACCAAACTGGCTCTCTAACAGCCATTGATGGACCCCTCCTCCAAGAAGCCCCCTATAAAGCCAACTAAGCTTGGGACCCTTCCTACGACCTAGGGCTGCGAGCCCAAGTTAAATACTTTCTGAGCCCAAGAGGTAGGTTGACTTCCAAAGGCATTTTGAGCCCTCTTTGCTTTACACCACGTTTCATTCTGGCTCCTAGCTCTGCACACATTCAATTCTGATGACCAAACTAACATAACCTTCTCACCCATACGGGCAAAGCAAACTGTAGCAAAGAGAAACGTCCACTTGGGGTGTGGAGAACATTAACCACCAGATGGCAGCAGGTGAAAGAAAAACACAGGCTCTGAGTAAAGGCCCGTCTTCCCACTGGTAGCACAGACAGTAACTTCACTCTTGTACAGGTCTCAGAGTTTTGTGCTCCAGATTTCAGTAGACTGTATGTGCATGCATGTGTTTTAAACAGGAAACAGTCAATAATGTTTGGGTGCCTGTACTTTGAATAAAATCCCTGACTTGGATAGCCCAGAACTCAGAAGCTAAACCGGGTCAGCCCTGACTGGTATTTGGACGGGAGACCTGCAAGGAATACCAGGGTCGTGTTGCAGAGGCAGGCAATGGCAAACCACCTCTGAACATCTCTTGCCTTGGAAACCCTACGGGGTCGCCATAAGTCAGCTGAGAATTGATGACTCT